ACCGGTCTTTAAGGTTGTAATACATTACCCACCCAAACACGGGAGAATTCGATGACGTGTTCGTAGAGTAATGAAGTGCTGCCATCGACTGATTGCGCTTCTCGTAAAAAACTTCAAGGTGCTTCAAAGGGGATGGATATCCACCCTTTTGGCATGCTTCTTGCCCCTCATACTCATATTCGTCCTTATATACTTGAGAAGTCAAACCTCACGAACCAAGGTTGAGAATATAACGAAATGGAAAGAGTTTGCACCAGATAAGATCCCCGCATATCCCGGGAGATCATCGAAACACAAAGTGGCATATTCTCCCAACTGTTTGTTGTATCAAAACATAATGAAACACATTTCATTGGATGTTGAAGTTGTTGGATTTCCTGATGAATCAACCATGGTTTCGTACTTGTTGTTCAATGATTCAGCAAAGAGCTTTTTCGGTGCTGTAGTCTATGATGGAAAATGTTCATCTACAAATTTGTCCTACACGATCCGCTTGAGGAACGAAGAAAATTGGTTTACATACTTGCTGTATCCGCACTTCATTCAGCGGCGACCACGTTCGTTCGAGTTTCACGCCTCACCTCCGGCATACTACTCCAGCGGGTTTCTGGCTATCCAGCATACAATTGACGAAGCCATCACTTCGAAGTTATGCGGTCAAAACCCTGCGATTGATTTCAAGTTATCACTGAAACGCATGCCGTTCCCACCCTACCTGAACGACTATTTTGTGGACGTGATTCAATCCCAGTTCTCTGATGTTATTGTTTTGGGTATTATGTTTCCAGTACTACACGCCATACGCTTGACACTTACTGAAAAACAAAAAGGCACAAAAGTATGAGAACATTTCTTTCATCCACAAACGTTTGTAGGAATCCTTGAGGATGGCTGGCGTGAATGGCTTTTTGTACTGGAATTCGTGGATGATAACGTTCCTCACGTTAATGTTGCTAATTTGTCTCGTTATTATGACTTTTCTTTGCGTCAGTTTTTCAGCAAATGGAGCAGTGATCACGCTATCCAATCGCATAATAATCACACAACTACTGTTTGTATATAGCTACAACCTCCTCTNTCTCATTTGGTTTCTTCCTTTCCACGTTGTTCAAATCAGGTAAGTCTTGCTTCCGTTGAATTTCAGTTATGTTTGCAATGCAATATCGATGAACCTTGTGTTGCAAGCACTTGGGTTTTTGAACTTGTTCAGAAGTTGTCTTTTATATATCTTCAAGATTTTGGATCGTTCCATCACTGAACACCTGATCTTCGTGACTATGGGGTTCGCCCCGACTACTGTTCATCACACACAGGTGTGTAATAAAAAAATAAGAGACCTCTGAGAGGGGAATTTATCAGCCCATTAAGGTGTGAGATCTGTTCGCTTTTAGTTTTTATGTAGAACTGGGTTTGCTGTGATTCATGTGAGTCTATTCTCGATTGTTTCCTTAGGGGTGGGATAATGTTTTGTTAATTTTAGTTAAACAACTCGAAAATTTCACGTATTATCTTTTTATTATCAGATACAACTTCTTATATAGATTTTAGTTATTGTTTACATCGCATCGAAAGGTTTA